TCAGTATACAATAGTGAGGGCAGCAAAAGTGCCATTTTCATAATTAATGATCAATTTTAAAAATGAGTAAATATAAAATATTCTATCTAATGTGGCTATTTTTTAAACAATAGAAGGAATACAAGGAAATCCTGGTAGTAAACGGATACCTGTTGTTTGTTTTCTGACACCTGGCATCTTTTTCCTGCCACCAGCTTTCATATATGGAGACACACTGCTCGCACTAGCGATTTTCGAAACAGAGGTCAAATGAATGTCTGACCTGGATCTCGTTGGGTACTTGTTGCATTTTCAAAATTGAGGAAAGTTACTAACATCGAACATGGAATTAAATACGATGTAAATATGAGGCTTTCTAAGACATGCGTAGGTAAGTATGTAAGTTTAGAGGATATCCAGTTCACACATTTTTTTTCTTTCCGAGTCGCGTCACATTTTTGTTAATTCGTCTCTGAATGTGTAAGAAATTGATCCCTTCTTTACCGCATGCCTTGTGGTGTAATTAAAAAGCTCATTCTGCTAGTAATTGGAAGGTCTGGAGTTAAAAGTCATGGCGAAGGCATTGACTGATTTGTCATTTTCCTTGCTCTGCAATTAGACTAATGCCTCTCTACAAATGGGCTAGCACTTTCTCAATGTAAATTGAGAAAATATTTTTCTAAAGAGAACATTTCAAAAGGCCTTTTCAGTAGCCGAGGTTGAATATACGACTCGATATTCATTAATTTAACTCTTAAATTTTTTGTTATTTGTTCGGGACGAACTGAGGGCCGCAGAAAAATGAATCAACGATGGAATGTGCCCCGCAAGTTTGACATGCCTGCTTTAGAACAACCACCTAATAAAAGGAGTTACAGGGATTGAAAACAGGACTGCAAGTGGGTCAAGATCACTTGGCTAACAGTCAGTAACTGAGCATTAAATAAATGATGCGACATTTCCTGAAACCAATTAAAGATTTCAGAAATACAGCAAAGATTTGCTTTGTCTTTAACAAAACAGCTGTTCTGCGTTATAAGGCGAGGATGTTTCGAACACAAAGCCAGCATTTGCATAAAAGCATTTGCACAGAGAGCACGTGAAGAGTAGCCTGACAGTTTGAACTACAGAGGCTCTTTGCACATTTTTCGACAATTTTGCTTCGTTGTTTAAAAAAAAAATCTTAGAAATTTTTGTTTTAACTGCAGCTATATTTTTGAAAATATAAATTTTCGTCTGCTACTTGACAGTATTGTTTTCAGGGGAAATGGAGCTTCTTTAAGAAGCAATGAATGGAAGCAATATTTGTGTTCTTCCAGAAGAAAATTATTCTTATTAGTTAGAGGTGAAAGCCATAATTTTTCGATATCTAAAGCTACCACAGATAACGTTGTCAACAACAAAGGAAAAAAGCAACAAATTGTTAGTTTCAAGTGGAATAATTGTTCCAAATACAAATCCAAGGAAAAAGCAGAAAGTTCCAAATGTTTCAAAAGTAAGATCTTTAATGTTAAAAGAAAATCCGCCCAGTCAAACGACAGTTTCAAAATCCTTAAAATGATCAGTGTCGACTGTAAACAACGTGATTAATTCTAATTTGAAACGTAAAAAAGCGAAACAACATGATGTAGATCGTCTTTCTCTAGGACATATCACCGAACAAAGAATGCACTGCAGAATTCTTTGTGAGAAACACTGATCCGATTAGAAATGAAAAAACGCTGTCACAATAAATGAATCTTGGGTGTATTTAAATGATTTCAATACAAAGATATGCATTTATTGTCATTAAAGAGGAGAAAATCTTAAAACGTGGTTCAAAGAAATCTAAAGAAAAATTTTTAAAGAGATTTATCATTGTTGCTTGGTTTTTGTATAACGGTAAATTAAAAATAAAGACAGCGGAGAAAAATGTTAAGATCAACTCCACAGATTATCAGAAACATGTTACATCTAATTTTGAAATATGAAACACCTTCTCTTTACCCACAGTGCCATCAATCAGTAAAACTGCATCAAAACATGGATTTTTGCGTTTGTGAACTTTTAAAAAGCGGATTACCCAAATGTCGACCAACAACCCTCCTTGGACTTTGGAAAGTTGGTCAAGAAGAATGGTATAAAGTACCTCTTACCCATACTACAAAAAGCTTTTAAATACCCTTAACTTGAAAATTCAAGGCAAGAATATACTTGCTTTCAATTAACATACCTTCCAAAAACATCAAAACTGAAAATGCATATGTTTGGAAAGTAATTAAGAGTGATGTGTTGCACTTTCAAACTTTTAAGAGATTACTCCAATGAGCATAATTTAATGGTGGATAAATTCCAAAAACATCCAAACTGAAAATGCATATGTTTGGAAAATAATTAAGAGTGATGTGTTGCACTTTCAAACTTTTAAGAGATTACTCCAATGAGCATCATTTAATGGCGGATAAAAAAATATAAGGTGCTTGTAGCACTTTTAATTGAGAAGTTGAAAAGAAGAATGCAATTAATTAAAGAAGACATACAAAGATTTCCTCCATTTCCCACTGAGCCCCACTACAGGCGGTGTGATTAAGACCACTGAACACTACAAGTTGATTCCAGACAAATATGCTGGTTGTATTAGTTTTCGTCATTTTCCCCATGTTTTCCTCATTTCATCATTTTCCCAACTGAATATGAGCCAGCTTCCTTTAAAAGGTCCTTCAGTCCCCTCCCCTCCTCTTAGGCAAATCGCGCTAATGCCTAAGAGGAGGGGCAAATGGCCCTTTGCCATATTCAAATAACTTAAACTTTTTCTGCTAAAGCAGAACTGCTGGTGAACCTTCTGGTAAAAATCATCAATTTCCAGTTTTATGATAATTACCAAGTCATGCATAAAGAATAATAAAAAAAAAAAAATTGTTCTTATCTAGGAAAGAAAAGTCAAAATTTAGGTGAATGCTGCCTATTATATATTTTATGCATTCGGTAATATTTTCAGCTACAAATTAATATTTCTGATAATGAAACAGAACAAAACCCACTTATAGAAGCCTGGTTAGGTACTGCAATTTTAAATATGATAGTATCATATTTTGATAAAATAATAGAAAAGAAATTTAATTTCATACGGAACTGATAATAATGAATAAAGAACAATAATTTCACCAATTCGTAAATTTTCTTTTATACTTCATACTTTACTTTTTTTAATGTGTTATTTGTTTGTTAAATATGCAGGGAAAAATTTCTTTAAAACTTCATCAAAAGATTAAAGCATAGAAATAAAAAAATAATAATAAAAAAAATGGAAGTACAAAATTATAGTAATTGCACTACTGAATTCTATAAACTGTTTTTTTGGGTTAGCAGCTCTAATATGAATTGGTGTTACTTGAGTATAACACACTTATTTATAGCAGAAACATATTAATCTCAAGCTATACGGTAAGACATTTTTCCAGTAGGCTGAAACATAGGTGTGACTCTTTAATATAATCAAAATTCATACAGATCTGTGTTAAATGGTAAGAAGTTTGAGCTATTAAATAAATTGTGGCATACTCTCCGACAAGTATCATACACATAAAACAATCAGTCTGCAGCTGTATGCTTAATATTTGGCTTATGTTACTATTCAAAATACGTTTTATTTGGGATGGTAATGAAATAAATGCTTATAAAATTTACCAGTTAGATGTCTACAAATCATATCAATTAGATAAATTACTGAAAAGATCAAAATTATTAGGAAATTAGAAACTATATACATATATAGCTTATAGATAAAAAATATGTAAAACAAAATTATAATTTAAACTAGCAATAGTTTTTAATTCCTCCTCTCTGTTCTAAAAATCATAATAACTTTTCTGGACAGCGTCATTTCTAGATCAGTCTATCTCAAATGACTTGCATAATGCTGATAACATAGCTAATTTGGAACGTAAACCTTTCTTATTTAAACTGAAACACTTCGACAAGTTTCCATACTGGATAACTTCACACTTCAGTTCTCTTGCACCCAAAATGCTACTTCGCTCACTGACGTGTTGCTTAAGCTCTGCTAGCTATCATCTACTTTTCTAAAAATATAGTCTGTATAAAATTGTGGGGTTAAAATTCTGTTATAGCACACCCACAATGATGATGTGCACTGAAAAAGAATATGTGTACTAAGAATTAGTTATCAAGGAATGAAATTATGTGTAGAATCCAAGGCTATGTTTGTCTTCCGAGTATCATCGTTCTAAATACACAGTAAAGCTTCTCTAAGTCATAACATAGAGAACCATTGCCAATTCATTGCAGCTTTATCCAAGCCATCCTATTCCATATATATAAATTTTAATTCAAAGAGGTAAGGAATTTGAAACCTAACAACAGCCGCTAAAATATTTGAAGGTAATCTTCTTGTTTCCAGAAACACATTGTAAAAATGAAGTACTTAACAGGAAAAATGGGGAAAATATGCAGTACTTTTGTTAATCTCCTCTATTTAAAGCTAAGTTTTAAATAATTGAGTTTTTTTATACTGATATGTATTGTACCGCTATTATGAAAAAAGACTGATAACAAGAAAGACTGGGAGACACCTTTCAGAACAAGCAATTAGGTAACGTACTGGAAACGGACGAACAACAGCTTTTGATAATTATAATTTGCCAACAGCATATTTAACAAAATGGTATAATAAGATAGCAAAAAGATAATTGTTTCTAATGCTAAATGCAAGAAATATTGATAATTGTTACACATATAAATGCATTTTCAAATATTTGAAAGAAATAACCTTCATTTAGATGAAAACATTACAAATGGGAAAGTAAATGTTAGAGTTATACATGTCAGGACCTTTTTTTTTTTTTTTTTTTTTTTTTTTTTTTTTTTTCGCCTTTTTACAAGATATTATCATAGCAAAAGATAATAATTTACTGCATCTCGCAAAATATCACCATTTCAGTTTTATGGCTGGAATCAGATTCATGCTGATATGTCAACTTCATTTAGTAATGTAAGGACTGTATGAAACCACATATACATTATAAATATATAATAGAATTTATTTGGAAGACTAGAATTTGCCACAAAATATTACAATATTTTTCAAATTAAAAGTTTCATATTGCACTAAACTAAGCATATATATCAACATGATTTTACTTGCAATATCAAAAACGATTTCTACATAATACAGACAAATATTGGCACTCAGTTGCAAGTATTCATTTTATGTATTTTATAAATGTAAGCAGTGCAATAAAAACTTTAAATTCAACAATCAATGGCAAAAAGAAAATTATTTTATAAAATAGAATACAACACATTGCATAACTTTAAGCATGTTAAAACTAATATAACTGCAAAAACATAAAATAATGAACTACAGGCTACATATCACAGAATGTTTATGAAACAAAAAAGGACTAATATACATATGTTACATTATGTATAGAAAATGTTAAGACACATTTGCTCCTAGCAATCTAAAATTAAGAATAATTTTTTCCTTCATGTGTAATTTACGGACAAGAACTTTTTTTAGGTCATACATATAGGATTTAAAAAAAAAAAAAAAAAAAAAAAATCAACTCTGTTTTTGCTTATTTTTTACCAAACAATTTTCTTCAATAAGCTAAATAAAGTATTTTTGATAATTTTCATTGCATTCATCGCATATAAAAATATACGAAGAACATTAAAAAAAGTTGATAAATGCCAATTCCATACTATCAAATAGTTTGCCATAAGAAATGAAAAATATTAAAAAATAACAGCAATAGTTTAGGTATAAGTACCTAAAATATTACCGTAATTGAATTATAAATTTCTCCTTTAGATACTAATTAATTTTACTTAACTATAGTTAAATAAAATAATTATTAATCTAGTGTTTTCTGCTGTAATTGCAGCACTTATGACTGTCATTACTTCCCTTAAAACCAGCATAATAAATTTAAAGCATCAATAAGGCTAGTATTTATTTGCCTTCTAAGCTGCAATGGTATTTTCATATAAAGCATTAAAATGCAGTTTCTAGTACCATATTTAAAACATGATAAACAATATGACTTAACTTCATTAATAGTCTCCTAGTTCGTTAAATAACATGTAATATAATATAAATTTCCAACCTACATTAATCAATACAAGCACATTTTAATACTTTTTTAGTGAATAGGAAGTTATACTATCTTTAAATAAATTTAGAATTTTTTTAATGATTGAAATTTAAAAAATAATTTGTTATTTTAGATTATTTATTTTTAATGTGTTAGTGTTTCTTAGATATAAAAATGGTATTTTATGAGATTTTTACCTTAAATCACATATAAGACAGGTTATAAATGTACATATTTTAAATAAATATCTCATGCCTAATATTCAGCTACCTTAAAAAGTCACAGAAATGAATATTCATCATACAATTTGTAATTAACACAAAGTCATTATTTGAATAATGTCAACAATGCGGTAAACATTAACAGTACTCTTAGCAACTTAAAAATACAGTAATTTACATATACTATCAGGTCACAATTTAATTAAGATTCATGATGAAATTATGTCAGTGCTTACTGGCATTCTGTTTTACAGCATACAATGTACCATCATATATGTTACAATTAAACAAATGCTATGTTTGATGTAATCATGTTTTTACCAAAAGTTTTATTTATTTGTTTACACAACAGCATTTTTATAAAGTATATTTTGTTCCCTACACCTAACAAGATTCATATGATTTTAAACATAAAAATAAGTGTGTTTTTTTATCTGGAAATATCTCTAGTTAAATTATTACACTTCCATTTAATTATTTAAATAGAAAAATCTAGATAACATTAACAAGACTTTTGTATAAATATGCTTACAGTGAAAAACTAAAATCATGTATTAAAATAAAAAATAATCTATTTACTGCAAAGAATTTTACAAAAAATTAAAGATTAGTATAAGTAGCAGCAGGAAATAACAGATGAATGTAAATAATGATAAGGTACATTTTTAAACATAACAGAACATCTGAGGAAATATCGAAGGGCATTATTAATAAGAGGTTAACCAACTATAATGTATTTCATGCATCTATAATTGTTCTTTTCTATGCTATCAATTATATCACAAATGACATTTTGAATGTGAACCTCAGCCACATAAATATAGTACTTAATTTCTTAAATGTCAGCCACATAAGTACATTATTAAATTTCTTACATTCACAGCTTCATGTTTCTTAAAATGGTGATAAAAGCAATATACCTAAAATACACTGGTTTCCAAAAGTTAAGGAGCAAACAAAAATCATGATAAATCCACTAAAGGTAGTTTGAAATTCTTGAAATATGGACATATTACAAATAAAAGCAAGCTGTTTAAAATAGCATTCTACAAAATAGTGGCATTACCATCACTTTACGTAAATACGATACAGCTTAAAATCAACTTTTAGAAAGGAACTGCCATTCAATACAACGGTAATTGCAATTCAATGGTACATTACAACAATTTTGAGAAAGCAAAACTGACAAAATGAGTTATGCTGATAACCAGTATTTTCAACTCAGTGGACCAGCATTACAACAGGACTGTAAATACATCTCTTAGATCCACACTTATTTCTACTACAGGAAGAATAGTATCAGTTCTGACAGCATGCAGGAGACTGCATGAAAAAAGTCTGTAGGTTCCACCTATCTCCTGCCACTGGTTTGATTTATTTGATTATGGCAAAGCACTTAAAGGTTATCTGCCTAAGGGGATGGATGCCTTTATGGAGGACTTTCTAATAGAAACTGGCTCATAAACAGGTCACATATACCACCTGCTAAGGGAGTGAGCATTTAAATTGGGTACACAGTCATATAAACTGGAATGAAAATCGGTGGAGGTCTGTTTTGTTCACTGATGAATTCCCCTTTGCTTTACATAATTAATTCTCTACGTATTTACATATGGAAAGAAGAAAACTCTCAATATCTCCATTTAACATTCGGAAATGCAGAAGGTAGTGCTTTTGCACGAGAAAGAGTATCTTTATATGGGCATACAGACCTTCATGTACTGTCACATGGAACTCTCAATGCTCAGAGGTACAGAGATGACATACTAGATCCTATTTTTCATCTTTATTCCACTGCAGTTGGCAATACCTTCATTTTGCAAGCAGATAATGCTTGCTCTCACATTTCTCGAGTCATGCAACAATTTCTTAAAGAAACTATAGTCCAAATGGAATGCCATCTCTCTCAGGAGGTGTGTTGCTGCCCCCTCCCCAAATCCTAGAAGGGCTTAGAACTGCTTTACTTGATCAACGCGCATTACTACCCTTGCATCTTATATACATCTTAAACGGCATAAGACACTGCTGCCAGGCTTGTATTGCTGTTCGAATGATCATACTCACTATTGAGAATATTTTTTTTTTCTCTTTTTGCATTTAATTTTTATGTCTCAATTTAGGATATTTCATGTTCCCATTGATATTACTAAATATAAATATTCTGTATAAAATTTTCATATGTTTTTAAATTGAAAGTGGCGTAATAAATAACATCACCAAGTTTAATCCAATTTGCTTGCATACTTTTTAAGTTATCACCACTCTTCTGTTTACTGACTAACTTTTGGAAACAGGGTATATCGAAAAGTAGTTCCAGAATTATTTCTGTGATTAAAACCAATGTCATTTAAATTAAATAAATATTAAAGAAACTACAGACTATTAATTTTTACATAAATTATAAATATTAAACTAGGCTCAGAATAATTTCATGCCTAACTAATATATAAGGTAAGGTTATTTATACCAGCAACTAAAAATTTTGATACCTGAAAGTTGTTATTTTACTGATGATAATGAAAGATGAAAAAATGTGATTAAATATTGCCATGTTATACACAAAAGAAACAGCTGGTTTTGCAACAGATTTTTAGCAAATGTGAGCAATAATTTATGATGAAATTTTTAAAACACTAAGGATGTTTTTAACAATACACACAAAGTTTTATTCTTTTTTTTATATGAAAATGTTTTTGTTAAACTTTTAAAACAGTGCAGTAATCTAAAACAATACAAAGCTTTGTACATACAAAACATGTTGCTCTTTATAAATTTCACTTTTTACATTTATAAATAACTGCTTTTAAAACAATTTTAAAAAAGCTTATAACATAAACTAAAATGTAACAACAAAACAAGCATATCCATATTAAATTTTCTTTCTCAGGAAATCTAATAAGCTAGAATAGAAAAAAAGTTTACGTAATTATTGAATGCCAAATAAATTAAATGTTATTTTATCAAAGAAAAAATATCAGTAACTAATATCAACTCACTTCTCACAACAGCCTTGTATATGGGAAATAATACAAGGTTTGAGGCAGATCCAGCTGCCAGTTGCTTGCATGGAGCTCAATCACCTCAAGTAAAATTTTACGAATTTGTGCATTTATGGACGGATTAACAAATGCATCACGCAAGTTTGACACCATATGTTGCATGCGTTGGGGAGCATCTGCTTCCAGCTGCTTACCAACTGTTACCAACATTCTGCGAAGTACTTCAATCTATAAGAAAAGAGAAAACTAAAATATTATACAAGTTTCATCCTCCATGTGTACAAATTTTAATGAGGGAAGTATACATCATGACATGATTACATGCATAAGCTCGACTATGAAATAAAATATTTCTTCTAAATAGAGCAGGAGCATTATAAAGAAAAAATATTTCATTTAAAAAGGAAAATCCTAGGAACTGTCTCTTTACATGTGAGAAATATTGGACGAAAAGCAGAATTTTTATCTTTAACTATTTTTTTCCATTCTTTCTGCTTTGGTAAGACTACGATTATGAGATATGCAAATAAATTATACGATAAGTTTTTCCTTGGATAATGAATATGAAACAAGAGTACCATTTCATTCCTACAGCATTTTAATATTTAAAAAAAAAAAAAAACAATTTGTTTGCTTACTCAAAAAAAAATTATTAAGCTTCTCAACTTAGAAAATAAAACAAAGAATTCTTCACTTAGGAATTTAGTTTAAATTATTAGTCATCACTTCCTTGAACTCAGTTCCCTAGATGGGTATTCAGACACACTGATTTTATCATGGCACTTTTCATTATTAAGTGAATTTGCCTTATATAATTGATCTTTTACAATTCTGAAACAGATTCAGAATCAAACTTTCACTGATTTTAGTATTAAAATGGGCAAATTTGATAAACCATAATAAGGAAAACAGCTCCATTTTACTTTACTGCTTATTTCTCAGCAGCTATTTTTGATGGATGATACTGTACAGAAAACATTCACTTTTAAAGTTACTTCTTTGTTACTGTCAGTATGCTTCCTTTTAGGTCATTTAAAATGCATTTTAATAGCATTTTGCAATACACAATGAAAATCAATTAAATATTTACTTAAAAACATTATTAATAATTGCAGACTCGATCAAGGAAAAAAATTATCCTAGAATTTTTTCCAAGTATTTTAAATAGCAAAGATGTCCTACACTAACGCCAAGTATCAAAAGATCTTACAGTAGCCCTCCAATTAACTAATCATATGTAAAAATCTGGGAATTTATTTATGCATATTCACTAACATATTACTTGACTGACAACTCAAAGCATCCAATCTTAGAACTTTTGTCTATATAAAAATAACTTAGTTTGTTGTAAAACACTATTTTGCACTTCTCAGAATTACAAACATCAAATGCAAAAAATTTCTGAAGTAGATCTAATATTCATGTTTTACATGAACTTTTTTAATGTAACATCATAATGATGTTTTGCAGAATTTTTAGACAAATGAAGTTACAAATGAAAGAGATAATATTATGGTTTCAACTTAATTCTGTTTATTAAACAAACTTGACAGAAATGAAAACAGTGAGATAATTACAGAGAATACTTATAAAAAAACACTTTCAATTTTTTTTACATGCTATTATCATGCAGATGACTAATGCCATCAATATACTGGGCATAAAAAATATTTTTAATTCTCATGAAATGCTTTTAATTCTTTAACTTTTACTGGAAATGAAAACTTACAACATATTTACCGACACAACCTTATTAAATTTAATCACCCAATTTAAAACTTTTAAATCACCCAATTTCCTCCAAGTTCTGAAACTGTCCACAATTTTTGGTCTGCACAGTGAACAAATAAAGTGGCAGATCATTCCTATATAACCAAAGAATCGTCCCCTTTCTGTGAGAAGAGAGCTGTCCCAATTAACCAATATCTCTATTAAAAATAATTAAATTCAGCCAACTGCATATAAAACTGAATAATTCAGCTACTGAAGTTAACTATCCAATTTAAATCTGAGGTAAAATAATGTACATTAAATATTGAAAGCATGAGATGTCACTGAAATGCAGATACAAAACATTCATTAATTAACACAAAATGAACAGCTCAATTTTTTAATTTATGAAAAATAATCAATCTTTAAAAACTAATGAAATATAAAATATGTAAATATATTAAAATCTCTTCATTAAAATTAAACATAAAAATATCTGAGAATAATACAAAAGAAAGATATTTCCACAATTTAAGATTCAAGGTCAGCTTTTAGTTTACACGCCTATTTTAAATAAATACAGCATATACAAAGACTTACTTCCCCCTCAATGTTGACAGATGATGGCCTCAACATGACATTTGCACATTCAAAAAGTAAGGTCTGAAGTGTCAAAGCAAGATGAGCCATAGGCGAGTTTGGGTGAGGACTCATTAAGTTCATGGGACTATTTCCACCAGACACAGCTTCACCCATTTGGCAATGCTGATTTTTCACAAGTAGAAAGAGCTCAGTGAGAAATGACACATAAGCAGCCCATCGCCGCATTCCAGGTGCAGTCATGCCAACTGATGTCAAAAATGTTGAACGGAGTAATTTGTCTCTCTCGTTGTACCATTCACGACAGCAGTTTTGGAGACTTTCAAGAAATGTGTGATCATGTTCCTTCTAAAAGATAAAAGCAATTTTAAACCATGTTTCCTAAAATACAAATCTATTGATTAAACAAAAAATATATCTACGATTATTGTTTTGACCAGTTAACCTTTAATGAACCATTCCTGGCCAAAACATCAGCCTCAAGGCCAGATGATTACTGCAATTCTCAATAAGGTTCCAATTTTTATTAAATTATCAAACGAGTCATTCTGTTTTTGTTCCATATCTCATTATTACATTGACTGCTAATTTTAACAATTGCAAAGTCAGAGTTTTTTAACACACACATACAAATAAAATAAAGAAAAAAGATGTTCACAAGAAGTACAACTTAATCATTCAACTGATGAAGAAGCAGTACCAAATAACAGGTTTTAATGTTCACACTTAAACCATAAATTTCTATTAAACAGCAATATTGCAAAGTAACTTTAAAATGAGCATATCTTTAGAATTTCCAACATACAGTCTCACACGCTGGAGACAAAAAATGTCCCCCCTCCCTTTTTTTTCAGTACAGTGTTGTCATTGCTCGCTTTGAAACCCTTGATTTTGTTAATCACAAATTCATTGAAGTGTTATAAAATATGAAATCGATAATAAAACAAATTTCAAATTAGGGCTTCCAGATGTCAATATTTGGTGAAGGATTATGTTATTCAAAATTTGATGGCTCTACGTACCATTGCTTTATCCCAATGCGAGAAACATACATACATTTATGCAGATTCTTCATTGTTTAATTTCTTTAAATATAACACAGGACGATAATATTTGGTGGCAAAAATTTGAAGTGAATCAACGTTTATAGTGAACCCACGCAAAATGCCAGAATGAAATTAATAGCCCTTCTGGGTTTAATGCCCTTTAAGCTTTAAAAAAGTGTGAATTCTAAAAAATCTCAATTAATATGACAAATTTACTTTATCAAATTAATGAGTGTCAACTGAAATTTTTATTCCACACAGAGTAACTTTTGTTAAATAGAATTTCCATTATAAAATCTATTTAGTTTTATATTTATCTTGTTCTAACTCTCTTTCTCAAATCATTAAACCGTAGCATTAAATAGACCTTTATTAAAACTACCTATTTTGGCCTGATCCAGCACCTATCATTGACCACATCTTTTTAAACTTTTACTTATTAATACATTTTACTTATATGTACAAATGTCTTTTTACTTATAAATTAAATTTATATTCATAATCAGATTTCAGGTTATTAAAATGTTATGAATTTCATATATGCAATTATACTTAATACAACTTGCATAAAATACAAAATGTAAAAGGATTAAGCGTCTCACCTTTAAAATTTAACTATCCAGATTGCTTGAAAAATAGAATTTAGATTCTTAATACAATATGTTTAATTCAGTCTCAAACAAAAATAAACATCAATTATTTAAATTTTCACAAGTTACTGACAATAGACAGTCTATATACATTTCATTTTAATATTTACAGTTTAGAACATATTCAATTACATTCCAGTGTAATAATTATACTTTGCTCCATTTTTATAATTACAAACTTGGATAAAAAATAATTATCACACTTGCCAAAAATCATCAAAACTTATAAATGTATTTTATTAACATTAAAACAAGGCAAAAAAGCATTAATAAAAGAAATTAATATATAAAAACTGGAAATTGCTATTTAGTTTTTACCACATTTGATTTAGTTTTTACCACATTTGTCACATGCAAAAGGCATGATATCAAAAATTTTAAAAAGATCATTCAAAAAAACAATAAAAGTTTAAAAGAAATACAAAACATTAAAATACAATTTTTACCAAACATCAACAGAAATATATTAAAATTTTCAAATTATTAAACATCCAGTACAAACTTCTATTATTGAGAAACAAAGCTGTGCTGCTGGTGCTCCGTACTGCACATGTTCAACAGCTTTACAACAAATCAAACGCACCAATTCCATTAGCTTCTGACAAGACAAGGCATTAGGATCTAAAATTTTAAAAACCATCTTCAAATGTATGACAAGAAACTCTTTAACCAATTAATCATTCACTAATAACACAACATTTAAGTACATTTAAATTCTGAAAAGCTGAGATTTTATTTCATAAAACTAATGTCTAATTATTTTTAAACCCTTAGTTACATAATAAGACAACAAAATTTTTAGTTAAAGATCTACATAAAAGATCACATCAGAAATAATTTTACACAAGCATAAAGCAATATTTGGCATTTAGAAATGAGTATTCTTGAGTATTTTCTTCTTTTGTAAGATTAACAAGACCTCGAACTAATACTATGCTAAAAAATTACTAGCATTACATCAAACTGTTATTTATATTATTTTTCTACTGTTATTAAAATACATCTATAAAAAGATTAAAGTTTTTGTTCAATACAGTTGGATTATTTTTCTTTCAGTACATTTTAAATAAAAGCATATTTCCCCAATTTAATGTTTCACAATTTCTTGTTTTCTAATACAGGAGTGTTTGAGGGACCCCAAAAAACTCCCCTGAAACTTTTACGGACTTAATACCGACATTTTGGAGTTTCGAGAAGGGGGGGGAGAGAAATGAAAAATTACAATTATGAAGTATTAAATGACCTAATTATAAAAGTTCAATGAATTACTTTTTTTGCAAAATTAATAACCATGAAATTTTCAAACATATAAACTACTACATTTTATGTAAATATTTTAAATTACCTGAATTAATTCATTTAAAAAAAATTATCTAATTTCTGCTGCTTTTTTTTTATTTCTTTCTGATGTTTGGGGGGCTTGTCTTTCTTTTGTGGTGAACTTCATAATTGCAGGAAGGTTGACTTTTATTTTCCTCATTTACAGTTGAAGAAATTTCCTCGAGAACTGCACATGCAGAGGTAGAAGCAGTTTGCTTTTCTGCTAATGTAGAAGGTTTTTCAGAGACTTTTATAGGTGACTCATCTGAAATAATGTTTTTAAGTCCTCTTGATATGTTTTCCAACTTCTGTTCATATTCAGTAAGAGATCTTTGTGAATTGGATCAGTCATTGGATTTTTTGAGCCATATTTTTCACATGAGGTTTCTTTAGAAGCCATTAAATCATATTTAATAGTCTGCACTGCATCTAGGGAATCATCAATCTTAAGAGAGGTTCTATAGTCAGTGACAAGTGTATCCATTAAGTTGAATGCACTTTCCACTAATGGGCCATGGAAGCAGCTAAGGCAGGCTTTGACCAATTTAGCCAATGTAGGATACTTATAATCATTTGTGAAATCATCTTTTAAATTAAAAACTTTAGACCAATATTTATCAATTGTACACTTGACTTGATTTCCACTTTCATCAGATGTGTAGAGCATTTCTTTGGTGATATCAATATCACTCTGGTATAACCTTATTTCAGCTTCTACTTTTGAATTGACTTTTCATTATCACTAAAAATATGGGACATAAAAGATGATAATTTTTCAAAAGCTAATATTGTACTGGTTTTACCTCTTAGCTCTGGATCTAATGCTGTAAAACTAATTAGATATGAATTTTTAAGGGGTAATTTCTGTTTCATATGCTGTGCTGTATTAGTATAAGCTTTCATCAGAGAATTTTGGAATTCTTTTGCTATTGGATGATTTTTTGATAATTTCTTCAGGAGAGTGGAAGCTTCTGCACCAGTAAATATTACTTTGCTAGGTAGATGGAATTCTGGATTTGTGACATCAACCTTTAATAAATCATTATAAGATGTGCACTCTATATTTTCTGGCTTCATAAAAAAGAGAAAATTTTTGCCATCAATTTATAAATACTGGAATGTATTAAATGAAGCATTGGTTTTTTTGTTTCAAATAATTTAATATATGTGTTGAACTCTGGTAATACTGCTGAATATAATGCCATATGCAATAAAGTTTTGTTTTTGCATAACAAATAACCCATTTAGTATTCTTTTTTTTCCGAGCTAAAGCATCCTTTGTGAGTTGTTGGGAATGCAAGCAAGAATACACCCCTTCAACAATTTTTTTCTGAGCTGCAGAAATATTTCTTTTATTGTATACAGTTTCAACATAAGAAAAAATCCCCTTTATCAGTTTTATCCAAGTAGTGAAAATAAAATGCAATAAGAGCATCCCACAGATCTTTGATTCTTTCTAAAACACATAAAATGTACACCCACCTATGGTCTGGTCTCTTCAAGGGCTTAAAGTTTTTTAATGGCAAGGGATTCACAGATTTTGAAAAAATTTTCTCTTTTACTGCAGCTTTTCATATCAAAATAGATGTCATCAAACAAATCTTCTAAGTATCTATCAAAACATGAAGCAAATTTTTTTTGCACAGTTATTAGCTGTGTGACATGTGTCACCATCAATATCTAATAAAGTGGGGTGCTTTGTTTTGATCGTAGTCTGGTTTCAACCTCCTTTTTTTTTTTCCACGCATGGTGTTACATGAGTCCATTAATACACTAATTAAGTTTGCCCATGGAATATTATTATCTTCAATAGTATTAACAACTGCTTTAAAAACAGCTTCTGAATTGCAAGATTCCATCTTTAGAGATGCAAAATGATGAACTACAACTTCATTTTGGTTGTTGTCATAAAACTGCACCAATATTGCCAGTATACTTTCTTGAGCATTGCTAGTACTTTCATCCAAATTTAGAGAAAATGGAGTCTCCTTTAAAGTTTTTAATGATATTTTCCTTAATAGTTTTTGCGAGCCCATATTTCATCTTATAACATGCAGTAGTCCTGGACATTTCCAACGAGTTTAGTGCCGTCTGATCGCGGCTCAACTGTTTGCAGAGTTCAATTAAATTGGGAGCTACATTGAAAGAAAGAGAATTCTCGGCGATAAACGAAGTTATTAATACCTCTTGGCGTGCTTTTCTTGTCACTATATCCAATGGCTGAGCATCAGTCTCCAGTAAGTCATCAGCATTTTTCGAATTAGCATAATTACTTTAAAGTCATTGAATGTCTAATGCACTTTGAATATTTTATGTGCGTCACAGTTTTAGAATGATTTGTGAAAGCCTTGAATCCTTCCCCACCATACTTCAGCAGTGAGTTACAAAAACACAATATGCTTGTCCAGCAACATTTATTTTCTTGCACCATGTGCCGATGGTATCCCCATTACCATCTCTCCGTTCCATCCAATTCCACCTAAATGCATTCCCGACACCTTCTTCTAATTGTATAATATCACTATTTATATCAAGAAATTTCATAGTGAAATTTTCTTGCATACATAAATAAAAAAATATTTCAATAAACGAAACAAAAAATCTACACGTGCATCAATAAATGAAACGAAAATTTTACACAGCGGAGAAAAAAAAAAGTTGAGAAGCCATCAATGACAAATAGCTAATACGGCGAAAAATCCCCCTTCTCTACTTATTGGCGCCAGGCCAGGAGAGATAAGACCTTTGAACCCAGAGTCATGTGATCGCACATCTGGTCGAACGAAGTCTCTCCCTTTTTTTTCTGCCACGCCTACTTGCGGAAAAGAATCCAGAAGAGAATGTCCGAGAACCGGGAGAATGAGTCATAACTCGCAATAAGGAAAGAACAAAAAAGAAGTTTTTTCCCCCTCTTCATGCATTATCACTGCCTTTGGAGAAAGAAAGGAAAAGTTTAAACCACACACACTGAATTTGCATTTTCTGCTTTCAAAGCAAACAAAATTACCCAGATCAAAATAAATAATTCATTATTATTCCTACTTCCTTTTGAACGACGATCCCCGGAATTTCCGGGTATCGAAATTCAAAATCCCTGGAGCACAAACATCCCTGCTAATAGATATTCCTGAATATACCAATATCTGATTCCGTTATTTCTTGTTTTAAACACAAAGAAATAAATCATGATTTCTCATTTACAGAAAATATAACTGTTGCTTGCACAAAATCATGTTTTGTGTACACTTAATTACTAATCTCATTAAAGATTCAAAAACAAGCAGATGATCAGCAAAACAGTATTCACCAGGAAACATAGTTATTGAGTCTCATAGTTTAAAAAAAAATTCTATATAATAACAAGAATTATGCCACCATTTATGATTCAATATATCAAAGAATATTGTATGCAAAGATATTTTATTTATAATTCAACTTCTTAACAGATTATTAGAAGAAATTATATAACAAAGGCAAAAAATTATGACCTTACCTAGAACTGCTCTACGTATCAGACCCTGATATTCCACAGGAAAAGCATCTCTTTCAAAACCTATCATTTCAATTTCATTAGCTTCACTGGCAGTGAAACTTTTTGATCGCTTCAAAGCACTTTTAAGTTCAGATGGAAGAGTAGTTGAAGGTGGAGGTGAGGTTTTCTTTGTGACACTGTCAGCAAAATGTACTTTGCTATTATTTTTGCTTAGTATTTCTGAAATATAAATTGTCTTACTTTATTTAGAGTTGCAAGCACATATAATACATGTCTTATTATTTCAACAATCTTATACAATTAAGAATTACTACATATTACTCTATATAAAAAGCTACTTACAAGTAGTACATTGATATTGCTATGGATTTGGTATTTAAACAGCCAATATTAATAGAATGATACATTAAATTGTTTTATTCCCCGTGCAGTGCAGCTTGTGATGAATTTTAAGAGGAACTAAGCCAGAAAATTAAAAATACAGGAGCAAGCGCATTTAAAAAATAGATATCTCGCAATTGCACACTTTTGTTTTTCGGGAAAAATCAAGAAAATACCAGAATATGCTCCTGCGTGATTTAAAAAGCTTATAAAAGGAGGAAAACATCTCAATTCAGTACTTGTTTTAAGAGTTTTGTTTAGAAAACTGTTGTTGTTTACTATAGCGAATTCACAGTGAAACTGGATTAGCTTTCTCTATTTTGAATTAAGTTCTGTTGAACGTTTGAGTAGTTTAAAAGATAACTACTGCAATATTGCAATATTGTATGATTATTTGAAGAAATTTAAGCATTTTGTTTTATTTGCTGTGATAATAATAAATTTTGTTCACTTTTCATCGGACTTGTGCATTCAGTTATTACAAACCTGTAACGCACACAACAATATTAAATAACTGCATCAGAAGTGGAATTAAAGCACTCCAGTAATACTCCAAATTTGCTGTTTCCACATATTCATGAGAACTGTCATAATGCTTTTATATAATGCACATTAATAATACAAAATAGGTACTTCATTATACAGTACAAAGTCCGTAATCCGGACTCGTCGGGACTTCGATGATTCCAAATTAGGGGTTTTTCCGGATTATAGATCATTAATTTAAATCTAATAAGATCAACTCCGAAATTATACAATTAAAAATATGAAACCTTAATGTATGAAATAAAGAGCAATTATGACTTAAAGGGTATCAAATTTTTTTGTTTACTTTATTAAACATTTCTTTCAACACACGCATGCGTAAAGCATACATTATGCGCATGTGTAAAGCATACAAAAAAAAGTTTGTGGCTTTGAGGTCCGTATTATAGATCATTCTAGATAATGAACGTCTGGATTACAAACTTTATACTGTAGTAGTCCCTGAGACTGAATCACCAGTCAAACAACATATCTTCAAATTCCCACGGTTTCTTTAAAAATATATACCCTTTTTTTTGGGGGGGGAAGGAGTGAGTATGATATTCCCAATCTTTAATTTAGCAAGTTAATGAGGTGGATGTTAAATTATTTTTTTAAGGTAGAGGTCTTTTACCTGACAAACAAATATGCAAAAATAGCTGCAAAATGAAACTTTATATTAACAATGAAACCATCTGGAGGTGCAATGTTAAAAATTGCAAAAAGAAGAAAAGCCTCCATGTTGAAATTGGTTCAGGAGTTCCAAAATATCATTCATCACATCTATTAGATTTATGTATCCTTGGGCACAGAAGTTGATGTCCATGAAATGGTGTAGCAAACAGCTTAATATGTGTGAAGGTGCTGCAGTTGACTGGAACAATTAATTATACATGACAAAATAATAATAATAAGGATAAGAATTCTTTAAAATATTCTTAAGAAAACAACATGTGAGTATTATTGTTATTATTATGTACTGTGTTATTTATTTTTACATTCACACTCCACAATGTTGGCAAAAATCTAAAATCGTTAAAGCTACTTTAACAAAAAACTACCAAGAAATTTTGATTGAAAGGAAAATTTCTAAAAATATCATCTTTACAAAGAAAGGAAAGAAACATACTACGAGGGCTGTAAATTTCCATTGGAGGCCTAGGAGATTTTGAAGATTGCCCTGAACGCTTAGACTGCTTTGTAGTTTCCTGCCTTTGCAGCCTATCTTCCTGGCCCTAAAAAATTATCAATATTAATAAATAAAACTGGAAAACTCTCAATATATTTATATATATGATAATTTATAAAACAATTTTCCTTCATCTACAATTGCTAATCTGAAAATCAGTAAACAACCGTAATATTAATTATTACTATTATTTTTCAGTCAAGTTGAGTTTTATAAATATGAAAAGCATTAAAAATCGTTCCAACAATATATCAGGCTATAATTCAACTTAAACAAAAATGGCACTAAGATTTTTAGTTTTGGAAATTAAAATATTTTTGAAGATTCACAAGATCTGAAAATTTGAATGTTTCATTTCTTAAAATATATATATATATATAACTGACAATCCAATTTGTATCAATAATTTAAGGCTACGTCAGTCCTCCTGTCTAATTGCATGCAACTAAATTATGATTTTTGAATTGAATCCTAGAAAGGTTTACAGCTTATTTCAGACAATATTAATTTCTCAAGAATGCATATATGAAACAGTTTCAAATAGAAGTCTTTATTAAACTATCCTTCTTCTTCAGCATATAACCCTTGTGCACTTACCAATATTCAAGCACAGCATTCTTGAACAGCACTATCCTGTTTCACATATTTCACTCTTTCCAAATGAATGCGTATGAGATACAAATATAGAAAAAACACCGGATCTATTTTAAAAATTATTGCTTTTTTCTTCACTTAAATGATAAGATTTTACATTCTTGTAGTCATAAAAACCAAAAAAAGTCCTTTTTTTTTTTTAGTATATTTCTGCAAAGACCATTAAACAAATTATAAATGGGAGGGAGGAAAGCAGAAGAAAATGCTTGGTTTTCTGTCTGAAACGTTCAATCACATCATACACCTGTATAATGCAAAATCAAATTTTTCTGAATACACAGTGAGAGAAATAAAAGATCTTTTTTATCTTTATATGCAAACACATTAATTACACACAAATGTAAAATTCTCATAACTTACTTCAGAAAATTCTTTTCAAGAAAAATCTGTTTTATTACTTTTAAAATGATTTAAAGAAGGAACTGTGACTCTAAGAAAATCGACTTGCAGCTCTTAAAATCTTCTGAATCCTAACATGCGGCTTTTACTGTCCTGAATTTTGACTACCCCTGTACTACACAATTAGGAACCTATAAATGTATTCATTCAAATATGTCATTCATGCACTCATTCAACTACTTTTGTAATAACGTACACCAACTTTGAAAATAAAAGATAAAATTTATTTGTTGAAGAACGTTTCCTTTCATTGTTCAGGGACAAATTCAAGCATATTCAGTGCAAGACCCATAAAAGACACTGATTACGGATTTTCAGAATATACAGTATCTGAATTATGGTCTATTTTGCTTTTATTTATTAGTATGTTTAACATACAAGCAGCATGAAATTCATTTATTACTTAGGCTGCTGAAAATGCTTCAGTTCTTACAGTTCATAATACAAAAGCATTTCAATCCATTTGCATGTTTATCAACAAAAGTTACTAGAATAACAGGCTGTAGAATTGGGTGCCTCTTCGATAAGCGACAACAATTTTTTTTTTTTTTTAATTTGGGCGATGAAACCTCACTTGTGGTTACCATGATAGTTTTAACTTTGTTTTAGCTTGTGCCGATCTTGGTGTCAAAAAAGAATCACCAAGAAACAAGGGGCACCCAATTGTAAACTTTTACCGAATAACACAATTACACTTATTTTTAAATAATACAATTTCACTTACAACTGTTTATTTACAAAAACATAATTTAGTGTTGAACAACTGTATCAGGGGCTCTCTTCAGTTTATTAAAATTCAGTTGGTCTAAACCCATTAGATGAATTACTTACATGAAAATTCTGCATATCCTTCTGAATATTTTCTGCCTTGACAGAAGCAACAGGGTTATTGTCTTGTCGGCCAGTCATGATCGAGTTTTCGTCGTCGGAAACAAAAGTTCTCGGAGATCGAATCGAAGGCAATGAACGTTCGATATCTCTAGAAATAGAAAAATTATGTGTAAACACTATGAATATTTTAAGAAAGAAATGCATATAATCCACTTGATAAAATGCATTTTATTCGCATTTCAAATACTGTAAAACTTGTCATCTGAAGTAACTTCAAAATTATTCCCTAAAAGGGAATATTGTTCCCTAAAAGGGAACAATATTAATGTTCAACTTTGGTATTCAACATTATATCTCCAAAATGATTGGTTGATCTTTACAATATGGTAACTGGTAGTTTGGCGACATTTTGGAGGCGATAAAGGTTACTACCTGGCACTTTGGTAATAATGTGAGCAGTACTCAGTTCCGATTACGCATTATTTTGTGTGAGGGAAATGAGAGATCATGGGATATGTCATGTGATATTAACGGACGAATTACGGTTCTTTAATCGGAAAAGGGGGGAAATCGGGAAAAAATCTGGAAATTTTGTATTTGGCTTTATTCTGTGTTGTGTGAAACAGTGTTCGTGAATTTTTGGATCCCATGGCTGTAACTAAAGTGAATTCGAAATGGGTATTTATGTATGTATTAATTTAATGTATGTGCTCATTTATATTTAAGTAGTGTTTTTTTGAATTTAATTATATTTTAATTAAATGATAGTTATTTTGTGAATTTTATGTTTGTAGGAATTTGGTATACGTTTTAGTTGAAGTAAACGGCGTGCGTGGAAATAATTTAAATATTTGATACTAAGTATTTGTAATGCTTGCGGTATGAATTCGTTGGTGACGTGTATAATGTAATAGATGATTTAGAGGTAAAAGTTTTTGGATATTTTATTATTTTATATGTGGAAATGTTCATATTTGGAAAGGGTAAATACTTTTTCGCGGATCAGGTAATTTCATATATGTTCTTTTTACCGGGTTTAAAGATTGAGAAAATTGTCATGTATTTTCGTGAAATTTTTCTAATTTATGAGAAAAAAGCAGTGTACATGGATATAGTGAAGAGTGTGCACAATGCACTTTTTGTGCAATTCTGGGATGTTTTTTTAAGTAAAAATAAGTCGACGTGTACATGGTTTAGTGATATTTTAATTAAATGATAGTTATTTTGTGAATTTTATGTTTGTAGGAATTTGGTACACGTTTAAGTTGAAGTAAACATGCATGGAAATAATTTAAATATTTGATACTAAGTATTTGTAATGCTTGCGGTATGAATTCGTTGGTGACGTGTATAATGTAATAGATGATTTAGAGGTAAAAGTTTTTGGATATTTTATTTATTTTATATGTGGAAATGTTCATATTTGGAAAGGGTAAATACTTTTTCGCAATCAGGTAATTTCACATATGTTCTTTTTACCGAGTTTAAAGATTGAGAAAATTGTCATGTATTTTCGTGAAATTTTTCTAATTTATGAGAAAAAAGCAGTGTACATGGATATAGTGAAGAGTGTGCGCAATGCCATTTTTGTGCAATTCTGGGATATTTTTTTAAGTAAAATAAGTCGGCATGTACATGGTTTATGTGTATGTGTTATTTGAAAAACGCGTAAGGAGTATGGTATTGTGCACTTTTTCCCAATTTTGCAGTGAATATTTGTCATGATTAAGCAGTTTTGTTAGATAAAATTTCTAGCATAAGTGTAATTCGGCTAGAAGATTGTTGGAAGAAGTGTTCAGTAGATAAAAAGAAAAGAAACATGTCTTTACTTCGTGAAGACAAAATGGTGGCAGGAAAAAAAATAGAGGGTTGCTGTAGGAGAGTTGGTTGCCAAATGTTCGCCAAAAAAACGCCAAGTTACCATAATGTAAAGATCAACCAAATGGGTTACTTCCAAAAGCCAAAGTCACCTGGAGTCAGGTATCATTAACATAAGGTTCTACTGTATTTTAAAATAAGAGAAATCTGCAGTACTTAATCTTAACTAAAGACAAAGCTGATACTTGTTTTCTTCCATATGCACTATTGTTACCACAAAAGAAAAAGCAGTTTTACTTTTCACATGGCTTAAGCAAATGGTTTCAGTTATTAATGCATCAAAAATAATTAAGAGCCAGAAGAATGTTACAATGACTACTGGACACATTTTCATCGATTCATTGAGTTATATGTAAATCCATATAGACACGCTTCTTGTTTCAATTTGAAAAATGTATTTAAATGAAATTACAAATAAGTGTTGAATACATAATATCTGAAGAAACTGTCAAATTTAACTCACTAAACACCATCATATCTAACTGAAACAAAAAGCTAGACAGGTAAATAAAATAAAAAGAATACGCATAAAATCTGATTTCAATTTACACACATTCAAAAGAAACATATAAAAGATATTTTAAGTTTTTAATTGGAATAAAATTAACTCCTTTACACAGAAAACGAAATCGGGAATAGTTTAATAATAAATATCACCTGTAAAAGGGTAGTTGATGCAATTACTGACAACGGTAACAGCAACATTTAAAAATTCCAGAACTGAAACCAAACATGACAGACAAACCGACGTCCTGCGTTGTGCCGTAAGCTACGTCTTTCAGCCAGCTCACAGACAGAATACACGTTGAACAAATTAAAAAATAAAAATAAGTAGGATGATTTACGTCACGATCTAATGATTTGGAGGACGCTAGAAATCAGCACGAAATAAAACTTACTAAAAAGAATAGAAATTTATGCAAAGGAAAAGTATATGTAAAAGGTAGAAAAAAGGACTTTATTTTTAAGGTGAAAGAAAAGCGAAATTACAAATTTAATCCTGGGCTAACTTCGTATTTTTACAATGTCTGATATATTACAGAATAATACACTGAAGTGCCACTGAATTAGGGATAGCAAGTGAATAATGATTTGGGCATCCTCTGACCTTGATAATGACTGCCACACGATGAGGCATAGATTCAAGAAGTTTCTGGGACCATTTACGGGAATGGCTTCCCAAACATCGGATAGAGCTGTCTATAATTGGGGAAGAGTCGCTAGTAGGGTTCCCATCTCTCCCAGAATTCAGCCCTGAAAATTAAAATCTCCCGGCTCTCGGAAGGAATTTAAAATAAATATTACTCTCCCAGAATTATTTTTTAACATTTAGACGCCAAATCTTTACCGCTTTGCGGAACCCTCTTTTTGATGATAATACTAATCTTTGATGATGTGGGGATAAAGGCTCCAAGCCTAAGTACCTCGTAAATGAACCCTTCCTTGGTCCAATTAGCTAGCTATTCACAAACAAGAGCATATTTTGGAATTATTTAAATGCTTTTATAATAATATCTAGTGAAAAAAAAGATTCTGATTCTGCAAGTGAACAAGTGCCACAAACAAAGATAAAATATTCGACGTCGTTTCAAGACAAGTGGTTAACTCAATTTGATTCATGAAGAGAGACAACTTTAACGGAGAATGTAAAGTTTGTCAAAAAAAAAAACGGTTAATATTAATGTTAGAGCTTTAACTGTACATTCTCAAAGCAAGAAACACCAGTCGTTAATATTGAATAGGGATTCATTGCATTTGGTTTCGAACTTTTTCATGAAGAAATCTTCAGAAGAACAAGACAATATATCAGCAATTGAAATTACTTCAGTCTATCATAGGATTAAGCACCATCATATTTTTAATAGCCCTAATTGCACCATCATAGTTTTAATAGCCCTAATTGCACCATCATAGTTTTAATAGCCCTAATTGCACCATCATAGTTTTAATAGCCCTAATTGCACAAACAAATTGTTATAGCGCTCTATTCCCAGATTCTTCTTTGGCAAAAATGATTTCTTGTGGTAGAACAAAATGTACAAGTATTTGCGAGAGTGTGCTTGCTCCTGCAGCTCAAAAAATACGAAAAAAAAAACTTTTTTTCTTCTCCCGAAAACCTTTTTACCTCTCCCGGATTTGGGCAGCCAAGAGGTGGTAACGCTAGTCGCTAGTTTTGTTTGATGTGGTTTCACACCTTTCTCCAAAACATTCGAAAGGTGCTCAGTAGGATTTAAGTTAGGGCATTTAGGTAGCAATTCATGGCAAAGAATTCGCAGAAATGCTCGTCCATCCAGGCAGTAACCAACCCCCACCTGTAAGAGGTCCAGTTATCTTGCTAGAATATTCCATTTCCATGTGAATGACAAAACAACATAAATGGATGGAGATGATCGTCAAGCAACTCTACGTACCGAATCATACTGAGGGAGGTTGATGCAAGTACCAAAGATCACACACACTGCCAAGACAAAACACCCCAGACCATGATTGAGCTGCAGTTCCAACCTGGCATGCAGGATTCATGGCTTTATGAGCCCGACGCCATATTCTCAGCCTCCTGTAGGTATTAAGTAGTCGGAATTGAGACTCATCACTTAATGCTACTCGTTTCCAGTCCTCTAGAGTCCATTCTCTATGTTCGCTTGCCCAGGCAAGACATGTAACCCAATGGCATACATTGAGCAATGGTACTCTCATTGGTCTACGTCTCCTAAAGCTCATATGATGAAGTGAGCATTGCACAATCCATTTACTGACTGTAACTACTGGTGCCCTGATTCAGCTGGGTGGTAATTTGAGCTAATGTTTGGCTTCGCTAGCTATGCACTATACGGCTGAATCGTCTCATACTACGCTCCTTCAAGTATAATTATCCTTTGCAATTTGCTCAATCGCTAGTTTTCTCCCACCCCCCATCCGTGTATTCTCAGTATACCCTTACACTGTCGACCTCCTCTTAGCATTCTGACGATTTCGGAAACTGAATCGCCCATGAATAGAGCGCCTACTATCGATCAAAGGTGTCTAAATCAGAAGTTTTACTCATTCTGCCAATTGAAACAACTTATTAACAACAACCACAGAACTAGCTATATATGCAGTTATCGCAATGCCCATACGTGAGCATAAATGCGGCGTAGTGCTACAGAATTTGCGTAGCCATCTCTATTCCTAATTCAGTGGCACTTCAGTGTATATCAGACATTGTGAAATTATCGTGATAATCGTTAAATTATTAATAATTTTAATAGAATAAAAATGAATCTTCGT